TCTCTCTCTGTCTCTCTCTTGTTACGTTACAACACTTTTGGGGTGGTGTGTTACAGGCGCTGGAGGTAGAGTTTTATCCAGATCAGACGTTTCTGTGGAAGATGATACTGGCCGCAAGTGGAATCTCTCTATATATATACCCCCTCTCCTTCTGTCTCTCTCGCGCTCGTGCTCTCTCTATCTCTCTTTCTTTGCTTTCTCATCTATCTTTCTCTCCAACCTCCTTTTCTCCGATCGTTTTCCTATCGCAAGGACATCGATAGCACAGGAACGCCCGCGCAGATATAGTCTATATATTTAACCTATTACGGATATTTGCTATATCGGTGTTGCTTATATACCTGGGGTTCGTTGTCAGAATAAAAATTTTCTATGGTTCTAAGATTAGTCGTAAGTGCTATATTAGCATTAACATTGGCATTGATTCGAAGAGATTAAAGTCAGCGGCAAAGGTTTAGGGCCGTAGCCTGCGGGGGGAGGGGAGCAGCTGCCCCCCAAGATTTTGGAGCAAAATTCAAAATATATATTTTTCTACTGAAAGAGAATTGTCGTAGTCAGAATGAAGCCTGTACATGTACTCAAAAGTGCCTCAAATACCATCTCCTGCTATCTACATTTTCAAAAATTTCTGTGGGAGCTAGGACCCTCAGATCCCCATCTGTTTCTCACCCCTCCTTGAAATCCTGGACCCGCCACTGCCCTCCCCCTTAAAAATTAGCTCAGCCTACGGCCCTGAAGTTAACGAAGAGCATTCGAGCATGTTTCCGATCCGTCAGCGAAATCGTACCACCACCAACGCGTAAATTCACGTAAATTCAAAATATAACAAATTCCAAATTACAGTTAAATTAAACGAAAAGAAAAATATCTCGAGCGCTCGATGCGACAATGCAATCTACTCCCTTCAAATCTGAACGAGATTCTACGTACAAGTCTTCCACTACAATATAATCTATCACGATGCATTACGCCTTTAGATTATGTGCCATAACGCTATAAACTATGTGTTTGCTTAGAAGTGTTTCTTTAGAAGTTGCTTTAGAAAACGTGGCGATACGCTTACGTATAGGCGTAGCCATACGAAATAGGTATCTGATAAAGTTCCAGCTCCGTAAAAAATAAAGTTTCGTACATAAAGTTTGTCTGACTAACACGTACGTGTGACGTTTATAACTTATTAAAGTTATAATTATAATTATATTATATATTATGTGTGTTAATTCTCGTCCCCCCTGACACCCACCCACGCCTCTCGTTTTTCCCACCCAGTACGCTCGTTCCCCAAACCCTCACCCACCCACCACTTTCGTCCTCCACCCACCCACCACTT